CAACTCGAGGGTGGGAATCGGGTAAGTGAAGCCAAGAAGCTATGATGGTACAGAAAATAGAATCAAGAAATGAGTTTTGGGGAAACTACAGTAAGTATAAAGGAAAATAATAGTGTTGCACATGTATAAAGGCAAAAGAGAGAGAGGCTGAAACTCATGTGTAGGTTGTATACTCTGTAGGTTATGGGGTGCCACTAAGACCCTATATTTTAACTTTATTATAGAAATTTATAAATACATATAAGCAGAAAATAGAATAATGATCCCTGATTATCTTGCTTTGTCTGAGATACTATAATAAAACACCATAAACTGTGTTCCTTATAAACAACAGATACTCGTTTCCTACAGCTCTGGGAAGTCCAAGATCAAGGCATCAGCAGATTCAGTGTCTGATGAGGGCTCAATTCTTAGTTCACAGATGCCACCTTCTCACTGTGACCTCTCATGGTGGAAATGCTGTGGGAGTTCCCTGGAATCTCCTTTATAAAAGCACTAATTCCATGTATGAGGACTTCACCACCATGACCTCATCATCTCACAAGACCCCCACCTCCTTGGGCATTAGGATTTCAACATGTGAATTTGGGAGGTGGGGGCACAAGCATTCAGACCATAGTAAGTGTACACTTCACAACTGGGGTCAAGGACTGCAGAAATGGTTTCCTGGAAAAAAGTTTTATTAATGTCACTCATTTCCTGAAATATTTTAAGGCAAGTCCCATACATTGTATCATTTTATACAAAAATACTCCAGAATGTAGTTCTAATAGATAAGTGCTTTAACAAGTAACCATAATATCATTTTCACACCTACAAAAAATTCATGATCTAAAATGAAGATCACTGTTGGCTTTGTGATCCAGTCAAATTGGACGTGGCACTGCGTAGGTCTATCGTCTCTGAGGCCTCTTGTGACTGGTGGCAATTCCACACCAGATGCTGTCCTCTGTCCTGTGCTGTGTTTCCTGCAGAAATTCCCAGGTGTGCTCAGCTGATGGCATCCCTATGGGATGATGGCACTTCACATGCTCCTCTGTCCAGATGGTGTTTCAGAAGCTTGACAGTGTGTGGCATTGCTGTGGGGTGGACTGGGATCTGTCCAGAATGAGTGAGCACTGGGCCTGGACTGTGAGGCTGGGTAAGGGAAGGCAGTCCACATGTAGAGGAGTACTGGGGTCATAACACAGAGGCAGGAGGGGAATTGGGTAATGATAACAATTCTTAACATTTATTGAATGCTAAATGTATACGGGGCTCTCTCTATATATACTAGATAATACTTGCCCCATTTTACAGACCCAGGCCTAGAGAGGACAGGTAATTTATGATCACAGGTAGTAGGTGATGCAGAAAGAACAGGAATTAAAGGACTGTGTCCCTGCTCAATCACAGAAATGAGGTCCCTGCATTTGGTGTGGCTTATGAGGGGAGAAAAGATGTGTATCATTAAAGGCAGGTAAAGACTGAGGGGAAGAGGTAAGTTTTGGTGGGAGAAAATGAGCTGAGCTTCTCACAGAACCACTGAGCACCACTCATGTCAGCATACCTTTGGAACCGTTTTCTTCTCTCCTCCTCCTCCTTCTCCTCTTCTTTGTCTTTTCTTATTGAATTACAGACTAGTGGGCTCTACTCAAGACCTAATAGATCAGATTTCCAGCAGTATAACCCAAGAAATTATGCAAATAAGCTCCTTGGGATTTTCAGACCAAATTTTAAAAACAATGGAGTACAGAATCAGACCAGATTTACAGAGAGGGCCTTGTATGTGGGAGAATGACAAAACATTTTTTTCATGGCCTCACACGTTTGGAAAGTGCTGTACCACTGAGCTACATTGACACTGGGCTGAATCTGCCAGCATCTTGATCTAGGTCTTCCTGTCTCCAAAACTGTGGGAAATTAATTTCTGTTATTTATAAGCCACCCAGTCTGTGATATTTTGTTAGAGCAGCCTGAACAGATTAAGACACTGAGCAAATACTGTTGAGCAAATATGTAAATGAAAGACAATTCGTTTAGCAGCTCCTAGGGTCTCTCAGCAGAACCTACCCGAGAACCTCTGAAGGTAGAGTGAGTTGTCCCCTGCTATAGGACACTTGTGGTTTATCAGCAGAGCTGTTTCCTCATATGGAACTTGGGGGACACTATCAAACTCAGAACCTCTTACTTAAAGAAGTACCCATAAGGGTTAGGACCTAACCTCTCCTCTAAAATTGTGAGACATAAAAGAAATCTCCCAAGAATAGGACCAGGATAACCCCAGACCAGCTTAAATGAGAAGGCATGAAAAATGTGAATGAGACAGGCAACGAGAGAGCCCTGTGCCCAATTTTCTTGGTGGTGGTAAAATGGGGCTCATGATGTATATGACAAGAAGCATGGGGCCCAAGGCATATTCCTCTGAAATGTTATCCAGGCAAAGGTGTTCACTGAGCATTTTGAGAAGCAGATATTGACATGGAATTAAATTGAATTGGGTTAAACTGATACAGGCATAATTCCTACCCTTTAACATGCCTTCTCATTAATGAATGTTTTCCAGTTGGTAACTATGATTCTTTAAGAGTATTTTTTTCTTTTTATATCACTGATGAAATGTTTTGGAAGAGGACTGTTCCAAACTGCACTGTTGTGTTGCACATGGAAACAGTGGCTGATCATGTTGTTTCTCAGTCATCATGGTGCATTTGACTGCTGTGCTTTTCCGTATGATGATCTATTCCAACAAAAGCATTACTATAGAGGGCATTCATACCTTGGTAGCGTTGGAGAGTTCAGTAATTATTTTGGATGTGTCATGTCCCACTTAACTGGGATCTATAAAATCTCCCACAAACCATTCTTGTTTTGCTACTGAACATTGGAGCCCCAGGGCATACCAAGTAGATCCTTTATATCAAATGGCAATTATTTTCACATTTTTTTTTTTTTTAGAAAGTATGAACTTAGCTTTGACAAGATTTACTTGTAGTACAATCTTCTCACCACTGCTGTTCCATGGAGAATATGGCTGCTCCGTTGGTCCCCACACCCACCAATGTCAGCTTAAGCAGGTTGTACCTGGCAGGTGAATTCCTTCCCTGGGGAAAGGAGACAAGGTCTAATTCTCAAGAAATAGTCTTATCACCTTATTTGTAGCTATTTAAAACTCTTTTTCTGTGGGAGCCTTGATTGTCTCATCAATTCAAATCAAGGTTTTTTTTAAATATAGACCATCAAAACTGAGATTTAATGTTTATTTTATCTTTTAAGTGTTACAACTATGTGAGTTAATTAATGCTGACTTTTTGCCCCTTAGAATCTTTGAATTAACAAAACAAAAACAAAAACAAAATCCCAACAAAACCACCAGTCTGCACTTTTAACTGTCAGTGGGAAGGGAGGGGTTGAGAGGATAAGAAATGTTAAGTGTGGTGCTAAAAGATGGAGAAAGAAAAATCTTCCAGGAAGGTGGCTCCTATCCTCATTGACTGTGTGAACTTGGTTCCAATCAGATCCTAGTTAAGAGAGGTATTAGAAGTAAATACTTGTAGAGATGTGGGGCAAGGAGGAGGAGCCCCACAAGATAAATAAGATAAATAAGACATAATTAACACACATAATGTTTATTCTACACCAAACCCAACAGAATTTTGATTTTCTTCCTAGTGGATAAATTTCTCGTCCTCAGGCAAAATTAAATCTATACCCAGTTGCTTTTTATAAATTTGGTCTCCTGAAGGGATTACCAGCATTCTCTAAGATGACTTGATGTGTAGTGTTTTCTTTCTGCTTCTCTCTGGTACCACAGGCTGCCTGTACCTCTGGAGTCATTGTCCTGTAACTCTGAGGCTCACTAAGCACTTTTCTTCTTTAGTTGCCCCCATCTGTCTTTGTGAACTCAAGTTAACAGACTTTTTTCCCTCCTGCCTGCTAGAGAAAGTTAACTGCATAACATGGAGAGCTCATTACAGGGAGAGGTGCCAAGCACTTAGCCACTGGAAGGTTTAAAAAACAAGAAAGTAAATGAAGATTACAGGTCATTAGCTGCCTCTCAGGCAGATCTCAAATGGGAAAGACTAATTTCCCATCACCATCCTTTGGTAGAAGAAGTCTAAAGAGAGCTGAGGTGACCCATTAAAGGCCAGTAAGGAATAAGTTTGTCTTAGGTTTGCTTTTGTTTGTTGCTGTGTGGTAGGTGGAACCCAGGGCCTTGACAGGCTAATCAAAAGCTCTACCTCTGAGCAACACACCAGCCCAGCCCTACTTGGCTTCTCAGTGTCCTCCACAGTGAACAGGTCTGGAACTGGGTTGGCAGTTGGCATTCTCATCACTTCCCTTTCACACAGCCGGCTTAGGCCGCCTGGAAAACAGGGCCCAAAGGGGAGCCCTAGCTCTGCTAAGGGCTGCTGCCTCAGAGGTTTCTCAGAGGAGTGGCTAGATGTTTTCCTGAGCTGCAGCTCTGGACCCAGACTGAGGAGTCTTTCATATATCACGAGACACAGCACCGCCAAAGCCATCTTTAAATGCAGCTCAGGAATTAAGGAAATTCCAGAGGTTACCTTATAAGCCAAGGCAGGAAGGAGCAGGGTCTGGAGCCCAGACAGAAGGAGATGGGGAAGCTTATAGAAAAAGACTTGTGCCCAGCAGGACCCACAGAGCAGTCTGAGCTGCTGGGAGGGCCGGGAAAGTGGGCGAGGAGGCGGCGGTGTCCTGAGCCCCTGGGGCTTGGCTGGCAGGGTGGGCATCCCGTGGAGGCCTTCTGCCCCTCCCTGGCTTGGGGGACCCTAACTGGTCTTCACAGCTTTGCAGCGGGCTGTGCACGCCACGGGGCTCTCTGTTCCAGCGAGTCTCACAAGCGGGAAGGGAGGACTGGCCTCGGTGGCGCTGGGCCTGGAGCCCACTTGGCTTCTCGCCCACCAGGCGGGTCCCGCCCCCGGCAAGGACACCCGGAGCTCCGGCAGCGGCGCCTGCAGCCTGCTCCTCCCTCTCCGCAAGCCCAGCCTCCCCGTGCAGCAGCTCCGCGTGCACCCCTCGCCCTCCTGCCTGCCCAGCGCTGCCATGGTCGCGTCCTCCACGCGGCCCGCTGTCCTGGCCCTGACCGGGCTGGCGCTGCTCCTGCTGCTGTGCCTTGGTCCAGGTGAGTGGGGCGATGAGAGGCGGAGAACGGAGCCTCGTCCCAGGGTGGGGCTGACACAGGGTGGCGCTGCCTGGGTACCGGCAGAGATGGATGGGGCCTTGGGACCCAACCTCAGCCTGAACAGGACCAAGAGGTTGTCGCAGAACAAGTTCTCTATTTTTTGCCACTGCCAGAGTGGTGTGAAGTGGTGCACTCCAGCAGGCAGAGAAAGAGAGGCAGGATCAACGGGCGGAGGGTCTCGGATCCGAGAGGCACCCTTGTGAAAAGAGGTCTGAAAGGTAGCCAGGAGGAGTTTCAGGGATTAATGAAAGGGACTAAGGGGTTTTTAACGGGGGTGGTGTCTGTCCTTGGAGGGGACCGAGGGGGAGGCTGATGGCATCATGAGGAGGATTCCCTTCCAGGCAGGCGCTGGGAAACAGTTAATATTGTTCCAGTCTGCAAGACTGAGGGCAGGCCTCACCCCAGATAGGGAACTGCTCCCAAAGCAGTAATGCTTTCCCTTCTCTATTCCTTGGATCTCTCAGAGAACAGGCTGAAAATGTGGATAATTCCCTGACCATTTTCCATTTAAAGTGCCTTCACAGGCACACTCAGAATGAAGGAAGTTGGCAGGCACAACTTTCCTGATTCACAGATTCTGCCTTAAGAGCCTCAATCCCAAAGTAGATGTTTTGTCCTGAGATACCACCCTCCCCTTGTTTGATCCTTTATGGTTCACAGCTGACCTCCTGTAGCATCTTTGAGGCTACAACTCAGGTATTGGAACCTCAGATTTACTGCTAAGGGACCTGGGGCCAGAAAGCACAAAGTGACTTACTTGCCCAAGCTCCTGTTCTGTCACAAAGTAGCTGGGCCCTATCTAATGGAAATAGAAGGCCCACTAGATTGCTCTCTTGCTGTATTTTGCTTATTCAAAACAGGCATGGATAAACAAACTCCAGGCTGAGGGGACACAGGCAAGGGGTGGGGGTCCTAGGGTCTTTAGAATGGGGGGGTGGGCAGTGTTCAGGCTGGGGAGGTTGTTATTCTAAATTACAACCACAGGTGAAACTAATCAGTAATCTCCCATCACATGATGTATGTACCCCCTCCTCTTTCTCACATTTAAAGAAGCACATCTGAATAAGTCATGTGAATGCTGGCTATAAGCCATTCATTTCCAGGGCTCATATTTCCTTTAGTCCATGCCAAGAACTTTGCTGTAGAAATCATTTAAAATATTATCCTCATTAAGTTGAACACATGTAGACGGTCTTATGACCGAAAATGAAAATCTCTAAGGAATCCCAAAGGTGACTCCTTATGAGATCCAAAAAAATTTAATGCAGAAAATGATCCCTTCTTGATAAATTTATTAATAGTAGCACCTTCAAAAGGGCATCTTGTAATTCTGAATCTGCTAGGCAATCTGATTCCAGATAACTAGATTTGATAAATACTAAAGTGCTTATTAACACAGCCTAGAAATACTAAATGATGATGTTGAGATTAAAAGAAAATGTCTACAGAAAATACATCACATCCATTATTTTTTATTCCTTTCAGTGGCATAGCTGAGATTTGGTGGGACTCTCATTTCTGGAGCAGTAGTAACAGACATTCGCTGCAAGAAATTACAGCCTTATGATAAATACCTAAGTCCCATATCTATTTCAATGTAAGACCACATTTCACTCATTAATTGTTAAGCACTTTCACAGAAAGCAAACAGATGGAGGAGTGATAATTCTTTATGCACTACCTGAGAGTTTTCAGAGATTGACAAGTGTTATGCCATTTATGGATGCTAATTTTAGTGCCAAGAAATGTATCAATCTGCTTGGCAAATATTTTCATAGATTTATTCATTGCTTCTTAAGGTTAGAAGGGAAATTCAGCCTTTAAGAGTAGCCCCACCCCATCTAATCAAATAATTCTATGGTAGCCTGGTCAAGTACTCAACTCTGTTGATTTATGCTCAGTTGCTCTCAGTATCTCCTAACAGAAACTTCTCGGGCCACTTGTTTCATCTTTTGGTGGCTGCCCAGGCATTGGAAACATTACTTCATGCCCTAATCTAGGATCCAGTGGTCAAATCCTAGTCCTCCTTCCAGAAGTTTCTAGGTGAATACCGAAATGCCTTCAATTTTTTCTCCTATTACACATCCTCGGGCCCTAGTCTGCCCTGGACACTCTCCTTTGACCCCCACTCCATGTTTTTCATGACCTCTTCAAATGAGAGGTTGTGGACGGAATCAAATATCAGAGCAGTCCCTGAGGTTGCTGCAGACACCCAGCCCTCCTATGCAAGACAAGAGGACAAGAAACACTTCTATCCCCCTCCCTTTAGTGTGGTCTCTAGAGATGCTTCCCAAGCCATTTCCATGTCATTCAACCTCTACAAATAGAGGATGGTTATATAAGCATCATCCATAATGGAATGCTCTGGAGAGCAAAAGGAGGCACTGTCATGAATTGATCAGGACAATTGGTATAAATTAAAGCTGCCCTTGGAGAGCTAGAAAGTGTGGCCACTGTACCCATGAGTTATGACAGAAATGCTTGGGAGAAAATAGTTTAGTAAGTTCTAGAAGCTTGTTATCCCATCCCAGAGGCCAGGCCAGTAGGTTCCTTGGATGGTGAAGCTATTGTAAAGGAAGGGAGTAACCCTCAGATCCCAAAGCCTACAGGGGTTAATAGGTGAGGAGGCTGCTTATAAACCATGGGCTGTGTGAGCAATGTGGTCCAGAGAGGTTTAAATTCAAATTTTGTAAGCACAGGCACACGAATAATACAGTTCAGTTTAGAGCTGTGAGCAGTCAGCTGGTGACTCTTGTGACATATTTCCTCAACTACATAGTCAATTATATAAGCAGGGGTTCTTTTTAAAAAATTTTCCCCTGGTTTTATTGACAATAAAACAGGAATTTAATTTTTTTTTTCACCAGGACTAGGGATCAAACCCAGAGCCTTGTGCAAGACAGGCAAATGCTCTATCACTGAGCTACACCCCCAGCTCAAAGCAGAGATTCTTAATTTTTTTTGACCCCCAGATACTTTTGAGCATTTGGCTTCTAGTCCACCAAAATTGTACCTTTGCAGAAGGAGGCACAATTTTCTTTCTCTGGACAATTTAGAATCTGTCCATGGACTGAGGTTAAGAACCCTGTCAAGAAGGCATTTCCCCATTCTGCACCTAGTTTCCAGTTTCTTACACCTAAAGATGCTCTACTCACTACTCAGGATACTCCAAGTGTTTTCTCTGGAGGCTTTGGGTCCACCTTTCATGAGACAAGTGCAGTTAAGGATCAAATTCTTCTGTACAGTCATGAGGTGGGTTTTCTTTTAGGACAGACATGTTATTTTTCTATTAAAATAACTGGTCTTATTAGAAACTCTTTCAAAAACAGAGTAAATAAAATAGCAAATGATCTTAATAAAGCTTGATTATAAGAGGGTAGGGGAGGGGAGGGGGGATAGGAAGGGCAGCACAATAAAATAGACACTAGTATGGCCCTATGTATAAACGTGGCTGTATAACCAATGTGATCCTGCAGTCTGTACACGTGGAAAAGTAAGATTAAGATTACGTTCCCCATTTGAATCAAATGTATGATATGTCAAGATCATTGTAATGTTTTGAGCAACTAAAAAAAATTAAAAAAAAGAAAAAAAAAATAAAAAAAACCCCCCCCCCCAAAAAAAAAAAAAAAAACCAAAGCTTGATTATAGGATGATCAGAGCAAAGTACAAAACTGGGCTAATTTTTAAGAGAGCTAAAGAATATTCCTTGGCTTGTGGTAGCCCAAGTCCTAATTTCTGCCTTGATGTTTTTTTTTTCCTTCTCTTTTTGCAACACCAGTCACTGGACTTAGAGCCCACCCTAAATCCAGAATAATAATCATTCTGAGATCCTTAACATAGTTCCTCTGCAAAACCATACTTCCACATAATCTCATATTCTGAAGATTGGGATGAATAGGAACTTGAGGGACTCCATTGGATGGAGGAGTTACACCATGAAGTAAATGATTTCAGGAAGGTACACATGATAGATGGCTATCCTTCATGATTAGACATCAGGCCTCCAAGAATTATGTCACTTTTCCCAGGAAGTAGCTCCAGTTGTAATGTCCTTGGTCAGTCATAGTCATCATCACCGACATTAGCCTCAGGAACCCCAGATTGTTTTCCTGAATAATCAGAGTGCAAAAAGTGTTAAATATGCAACACTACCAAACTAGCAATCAAGACAGGGGTCTGAGATTATTTTTTACCAACTTATTTTTACAGTTGAAAATTCAAGGATTCAGTGCAACTCTGAAGTTGATTTCTGTTTTTATTCCTTTAGGCGGCATAAGTGCAAATAAACTCAAGCAGATGCTTCAGAAACGAGAAGGTAAATATGCCCCAAATGGATAAGGGATGCATTCTTAACTGGATGGAAATGAAATGATAATATTGAATGTGTCCAGTCTTGTATTTGGAAAATCAAGAGTATTTACTTCTTAAAAGATTTGAAGATATGAAGGGTTTATTCTGTGGGTATGTGGTGTGGTATTTGATTAGATAAATATTATTGCTAGTAAATGTGTGTAGGTTCTTTTTTGGAAAGCTGTCAGTATAGACAAAACAGTGCAACAGTGTCAACTGAATGCTATTTATTTTAGATCCATGAAGAACTTTAGAGCTTGCATCTAAACTTGGGCATATCTGTTAGGGTTATTTTGCTGCAGCCAGACTCCGGCAATATCCTTCAGAGCATGTGAAGTCATTGCAGGAGTGGGCTTAGAACTGCCTAGTTGTGGCATTCTCTGTAATTAGCAATTGTGGAAGGGCATTTCCATAGGGATACCTTTTAGTTGCCAATTTCTGCTGGAAGAAGTGCTCCTAAGATGAATATTGTAGACAGCAGCAAGATGTTGTTAAAATAGTCACAAAATACGGGTTCTGGGCCTGTTGCCGCCAAGTCAATTGGATCCATTGTGTGGTCTCATGAATGTCATTTTCCCTCTCCCAGCCAGCATATTCTATAAAATTATCCTAGAAATTAAAAAGTGCAACCACATTTCTGATATGAAGTTTGATCACTTATTCTTTCTACCTCCTGGTTTACAGAAGATTCTTATAGGCTAAAGTCTGCTCCCAAAGTGAGGCCCTTAATCACTTGTTCCCATAGTTCTCATTTGCCTCTCAGGGATGCCCTACAGGTGCCTGGAGTTCAGGTGACCCCTCCGAGAGAAAGTAGTTCCTGGGAGGGGGCTGTCAGCTTCCTTCTGGCCACTCATAGGGCCCTGGATTATCTCTGATTTGGAAAGAAATGTCCCCTCCCTAGGCTGGTTGGTCATAACAGAATCACCTCACAGATGCCTGCGGGTGAGCAACTCTCACAGAGCCAGCCAATCAGAAGTGAGCAAACTGCTGAGATAATCATGACTCCTGGGTGTATATCCTTGAATCTTATTCACATGAAGCCAAGAAACACATATTAAGCACCTACTGTGTAAAGACCACGCAACAAGCCCTGATGTTTATCCATGTTATTAGTTTCATTATCCCATAAGTTCTTCCTAACAACATCGAGTCTCCTAGGCACATCCTACGGAAGTGGTGCCATTTAAGACATTGAGACTATGATGGGAAGACATGGGAAGCAGTTCAAGCAAAAGTTAGTACCTTTTGAGATGCAACAGAATGGGTAGTGATCAGACTATGAGGCCCAGAGATGCCTCCATAGGACATTGTGTACTCCAGCAGCCTGAGATGAACCCCTGTTGCACTGCTAGGTGGGTTTGATCCCTGCTCTCTCAAGGTGCATCCGTCCAGTTCTTTTTTCTTACTTCATCCCCCTGCTTATATATGAAATGAACATACACTTTAAGCATGTGTGGCACTAGATATCCATTTCTGTTTGCTGAATGAAGAGGCCAGGGGTTAAGCCACCAGCCCCTGCTGAGCCCTGGGCTAGGGGCATGGTGAGTGGTCTTCAGGGAATGAGCTGAATTTCATTGCTACCCTGAAAAGCTACATGTTGAAAGTAAGTCCCAGTTCTTTTAAGTGGCTATACACATATAGAAAATGCTGTGAGCAAAGAGCATGGAGCTGACGACGTGAAGCTGTATTTTCTCAGATGCATGAAAGAATAATCAAGAGGCAAAGCCATCCTGTACATGATGCGGTGTATAAGAGTGGCTACACTCCAATAACAAAAGTTATTCTTTTTTTTTAGTTTAAATTATTTACTTTTTATTTATTTATTTACTTACTTATTTATTTTTTACATACACGACAATAGTGGAATGCCTTATACTCATTATTACCCATTTACAGCACAATTTTTTGTAACTCTGTATATAAAGTATGTTCACACCAAAATTATGCCATTATACATGTACTCTTTTTTTTGCATTACAATTCTTATTACACATTCTTGAGGGAAAGGGGAAACATGGAGATTGGATGACAATTACGTAGGAGGAATAAGTTCCAATGTTCAACAGCATAGCTCTAATGTTCTAGTGACTATAGTTCATATCAATTTGTTACATATTTTATAAAGAACTCCAAGAGAGGAGTTCAAACCTTCCCAACATGAAGAAATAATAAATGGTTAAGGAAATGGTAATGCTAATTATCAACTGAATCATTATACATTGCACGTCTACTGAGTTATCACACTGTACCCCATAAATATGTACAATTACTACACATAAATTTTAAAAAGTAGTTCAACCCACAGTACGATTCTAGTAACAACAACAACAACAACAACAAAAAACTGCTGTTTTTTAAAAAAATCATTCTTTGCAATTTCGGGGTGGAAATTGCTCATTTCAGCACCTGCTCTGACTGAGACAAAAGTGGCCATGGATGAGAATAGAGCCAAAGAGTTCCTGAGCAGCATGAAGCGCCAGAAGCGGCAGCTGTGGGATCGGACTCGGCCAGAGGTGCAGCAGTGGTACCAGCAGTTCCTCTACATGGGCTTTGATGAAGCGGTGGGTGCACTTTCCTGCAGGGTGGGCTGGTAGGGAGAGAGGCCGGCTGGGGAAATAGGACATAAGAAATGAGACATGGCTATTTGGTTTAGTCTATTTTCTATTGGTGAGTCTGGGTATATTTACAACTAGTACAACAAAAGTTTTAAGGTGGAGACATAAAATCTTTTGAGGGAAAATACCCCTTTTTGGTATCTGGTCATGTTGATATCTGTGTATAAGAACATTAGAAGGAGATAGTTATTCATAATAAGCATTGTTAATCATTGAAGAAAATCCACCATAGAGAAAAGCCATTGGTAAGTTGTGATTTATTTAGGGGACTGTGTGTCTTTAAATCCATTCTCCATCATTCTTTCTCTTTTCCTCCAGAAATTTGAAGATGACATCACCTATTGGCTAAATAGAGATCGAAATGGACATGACTACTATGGTGATTACTACCAACGTCACTATGATGAAGACTCTGCCATTGGACCCCGGAGCCCCCACAGCTTTAGGCATGGAGCCAGTGTCAACTATGATGACTACTGACCACCACTGCCACACATGTACACGGAACCCAAGGTGCTTCCCTTAGGAATCTCACAGTCCCTTACACTATGCGGTTTCTGTTGTGCTTTATTTCAGTGGGTCTTTTCAACACAGTTTTTGTGACTTAGCGCCTTTTGATATTTCATGCAAGCTTCTAACAATATATCATTTAAAACTGGAAATAAAAGCATTTTGTCAAAAACAGAAGTCTCAGAATTTATTTGGATGAAAATTAAGCTGGTGCCATTTCTTGTTCCTCTGATGTTTTAAAGTTGAAGCATCCTTTGAGAGCCATTATGATCACAGCAATTTTTACCACATCCCAGGCAGACACTGTAATGAAGAAAGAGTTCTTCAATTGATTAAAATGCAGTCTATACTAAGTACAAAATATAAAACCAGGAGAAAATCTAGTTGAAAATGATTTCCAGTTCCAAGACTTGATTTGTAGAATTCTAATTATTCCACAGGCATTGAAGGCTTTTTGGATTCCAGCCCCTGAGCCACAGCTGGACAACCCAGGAAACAAAGCTAGATCATTCAGGAAATGAAGAGCAATAGAAAATTATCTGAAGTTAAGTTGATTTAAGTGCCATGCTCATCTAAAAATTTTAAAAAATCAAACTTTTTCAAAGAATTTAAGAAGATTAAAGAATATAATTTATATTATATTAAAAAATATGAGTGAATGCAAGGAAGAGAAAGGGGGGGAAGGGAGGGAGGAAGGAGGTGGGAAGGAGCGGGGGAGGACAGTGAGGGACCTGAGCCCTTACTCATCACAGGAAGCAGAGCTGCAGAGGGCCTGCAGGGAGGAGATGGGCAGCTTGGTAGGGCCAACTCTGAAGCACTCTCACACATCCAGGGGAATGTGACAATCTAATGAAAGCCTTTTCCTACTTTTCCACTAAAAGACTCTATATGCCAAATTTGTTTATTGCCTCTGAAACACACCCTCCTTCATAAATCTTAGGTTAAATAAAAATAACCCTGGATTTAGCAGGAAACACTGGATTCAGCACAAGTGGTTATGGGCAATTACATATTAAAGTTCATCTGTTTCTTTCTTGGGAATACTCATATGACTTTTGTAAAAAATTGTGATAATATATGATGACACAAAATTTACCATTTTAACCATTTTTAGGTGTACATTCATATCATCACCATCCATCTTCAGGTCTTTTCCACCTTCCCAAACTGAAACTCTGAATTCATTAAGCAGTAATTCCCCAAATGGCCCTTTCCCTGGTTCCTAGTGACCACCACCTGGTTTCTCTCTCTATGAAAGTGACTAATCTACGTTCTTGGCACAAGCAGAAATGTACAATATTTGTCTTTTTGTGTCTGGCTTATTTCATGTGGTATGCCTTTGAGGTTCATCATGCTGTAGTGTGTCAGAATTTCTTTCCTTTTGAAAGTATAATAACATTCCATCATCTATGCCATATTTTGTTTATCCACTTATGTCAATGCACACTTGGGTCACCTCCAGCTTTTGGCTATAGTGAATCATGCTGCAACGAGAATGGGTACACTAGTATGTCTTTGTGCCCTTGTGTTATAGTTTGGATGTGAGGCGTCCCCAAAGCTCACATGTGAGACAATGCAAGAAAGTTCAGAGGAGAAATGATTGGGCTGTGAGAGTCTTAACCCAATCTTAACCCCCTGATAGCGATTAACTGAGTGGTAACTAAAGTGGTAGGGTGTGGCTGAAGGAGGTGGGACTTGGGGACATGGCTTTGGGGTATATATTTGAATCTGGTGACTGCAGTCTTTCTCTGCTTCCTGATCACCATATGAGCTGCTTCCCTCTGCCACACTCTCCGCAAAGAAGTTCTGCCTCATCTTGAGCCCCAAGGAATAGAGCCAGCTGTCCATGGACTGAGACCTCTAAAACTGTGAGACCTCTAATAAACTTTTCCTCTCTTACAATTGTTCTGGTCAGATGTTTTAGTCACAGCAGTACTAAAACAGAAATTGGTACCATGTAGTGGGGTCCTTGCTGTGACTAACCTGACCATATGGTTCAGAAGCTTTTTGAATATTTTGCATTTGGTGGGAGGAATTTTGAGATGCTTACCAGTGCCAGCTGGAAATGCTTTAAACTGTTGTAAGTGGAGCTTAATGGCTGATTCTACAGGGAGCTCAGAAGAACAGAATGCCAATAGGATCATGCACAGTGAAGACAGGGCCCAAGAGGCTTCAGAGAATGACTCTATTGGAATTTGGACTAGAGGCCATTCCTGTTTTGTTCTGGCTGTTTTGTCCGTGTCCTGAGACTTTCTGTGAGGCTGATTTTAAAAGTGATGAGCTTCTTATGTGGCAGAAGAAATTTCTGGACAGTATAGCATTCAGCAAGTGATATGGGTACTACTGGCAGCTTTTAGCCAAGTTACTTTGATATTCAGGAGCAGAAAGCAGAGCAGAAAGATTTGAGAAACTTGAACTTGAAAGGCAGGAATAAAACTGGGGCTAAGGAAGTTGTAGTTGTTAAAGACATTACTGCCACTACAGAAATGCTAAAGATTTTGCCCAGAGACAATTAGAAAAATGGCTTAAGGGCATCTCAGAAGGGGCAAGACCACTTCCATCTCAGGCTCAAGGGAGTAAAAGTGAAAATTCTCTTGAGAAGAGACCAGTCAGAAATCCTTCTTGCATAAAGGGGCCTAAAAAGTTTTTTCAATGTGCTCAGCTACCCAGAGGCTGCTGCAGCTAAGGTATCTGAAGGCTTGGCTACTGCTCAAGATGGCGGCAGACCTTGGCATCAACCATGTGGTGGTACTGGTTCTGCAGGAATGCAGGATGCTGGAGTTAGGGGGTCATGGAGGCTTCTACCAAGATTTCAAAGGAAGGCTTGGAAGCAAGGCAGAGTGCAGTAGGGTCGGAGTCCCTGCAGGCACTCCCTGAATAAGACAAGATATAGAGATTTGAGGAGGAAGCCAAAGCTGCAGTGGAGACCCCTGAAATTAAGAAATGCCAATAATGTGGGGGCACTGTCCTAGGAAAACTGCAGGAATTAAGCAGAGACAAGTCAACAGAAAGGCCACTTGGGTTGCAACCAAAAAAGCCACAGGGGTAGAGCTACACAGCCCTTTGGAGAGAACATCACGATGCCGTGTGCTCCAGAGGCCAGACACAGAACTACAGGACTTTTTTGCCTACCTGGATATCAGTCTTGCTTTGGTACCATCCCTTTTTTCTATGACCCAATTTTTGTGAATGGAAATGTTTACTCTGTATCTTTATATACTGGATACTTGTAAATTGCTTTTAATTTTACAGGAGCTCACAATGAGAGATTGCATTGAGCCTCAGAGAAGACTATGGGAACTCTTGGAAATAGACAAAATATATTTTGCATTGTGAGATGGTTGTGAGCTTTTGGGGGCCAGGGGCAGAATGTTATAGTTTAAATGTGAGGTGTCCCCCAAAAGCTCAAGTGTGAAACAATGCAAGAAGTTCAGAGGAGAAATGACTGGGTTGTAAAAGCCTTAACCCAATCAATAAATTAAACCTCTGATAGGAATTAACTGAGTTATAACTGAAGTGTTTTGTTGTGGCTGGAGGAGGTGGGAACTTGGGACGAGGCTTTGGGGTATATATTTGTATCTGGCAAGTGGAGTCTCTCTCTCTCTACTTCCTGATTATCTTGAGCTGCTTCCCTATGCCCCACTCTTCCATCATGATGTTCAGCCTCACCTTGAGCCCAAAGGAATGGTGCTGGACTTCTATGGACTTGAGACCTCTGAAACTGTGAGCCCTCAAATGAACTTTTTCTCCCTACAATGGTTCTGGTTGGATCCTTTTAGTCACAGCAGAGGGAAAAAAAGCTGACCAAAACAACTTGCTTCAATTCTCTTTGGAATTGCAGAATCCTATGATAATTTGTTTTAATTTTTCTGTAAGAATAGCCATATGGTTTTCCACAGCAGCTCCACCACTTTATATTCTCATCCTTACAGCTTTTGTTTTGTTTCTTGAGAGGGCTGGCCCAAAGCACAGAGCAATGCTCAAGAGAAGAATGGGAGGGTGATGGAAGACATCTTTTACTTCTAATCTTAAGGAAGTTCTTCCCATGCTTCTCCTTTAGCTAAGTCGGCTGGTTGCTTTTTGTAGATGCCTGTATTGTTCAGTACTCTCCAGAGAACAGACCAATAGGCAATAAACATTTGTATGTGCACGTGTGAGTGGAGACACACACACACACACACACACACACACACACACACACTAGATTGGCTCTTATGATCAGAGAGGATGAAACATTCCACAACAGCTACCTGCAACCTGGAGAGCCAGGGAGGCTGCTTACATGGCTCAATCCAAGAATCCAGAAACTCAGGATCAGGAAGGCTAATGTTGTAGCCTCTATCATAAGTCAGCAGCCCCAAGAGCCTATGGAGGGCCACTGGTACAAGTGCCAGAGTTCAAAGCCAAAGAACCCGGTGTCTGGTGTCCAAGGGCAGTAGCAACTGAAACTAGCCCCCTCCAGAAGGAAAAGCCTAGAGGTTGGAGGGAGAGAAGTTGTATTCCCTCTTTCTCCTGCCTTCTTGTTCTATCCAGGCCCTGGCCTCCCACATTCAGAAAGGTTTTCCCCACTCACTTCACAGATCCACATGCCTATCTTGGGAAACACTTTCAAAAATATACCCAACAAGTATGCTCTACCATGTCCCAGGTGACTAGCAGTTTGCTCAAGTCGACCACTAAAACTACCCAGTGCCATTCCCCTTTCCAAGGTAAGAAAATTTACTTCTAAAAATGTGCTAAGAAAAAAATATTTATGTTCTATATGGTTATGGAAGGGTTTTCTTTGTTGATTGAGAAAAACGTCACTTTTCCTTTGAAATCTGTTAATATGGTGAATTTCATTAATAAAAATATCTAATATTAATCAATTAAGTAATTAAATTTCTGTAATTTAACCAAATTGTGTGTGTATGAGAGGTACTATGGGTTTGACCCAGGGGTGTTCTATTACTGAGCTATACCCCCAAGTTCTTTTTTTATTTTAAGACTTTAAGTTGCTGAGGTTGGCCTTTAACTTGCCATCCTCCTGCCTCAGCCTCCGAGTCACTGGTATTACAGGTATGTGCTACCATTCATTGCTGGATCTGGTTTGGAAACACTGATTTAGAATTTTTGCATCCACCATAAGATTGGCCCGTAG